GTAAGAAAGCAGATCCGCTCCTGCGCCTCTTTTCCTCCGGGGTTTTCACGCACTTGTCGCGCTCGGATCTTTCGCTGTTTTCTCAAGTTTAAAAGCTCCAGAAAGTGAATCATCTGTTTTCTTTGTTGGAGTTTTGTGGGAAGCGCTGGTGAGTTGTTGGGACGCGGCTCTACGGGGTCGGCGCTTTTGTCCGAGTTGAGCCGCTTTTGATTGGCTGAAATGACTCGGCGCACATCCGCACTTGCAGGACAGGTAGCGGAGGGATTTGCGTGGACATTGTGCGCTGGTTTGACGGGGATTGGGTGTTTTGTGGCCGTACGTGAAGCGTGCGTAAAGAGGTTTGTGAGATTGGTGAGATCGCGCGGACACGGAACTTTCACGCATCGTTAACGTGCGTAATCACCGGGTCAGGAGCGCGCGCTGATACTCAACTAGTCTGCGTTTTTTCTTCTCTGGTGTCACGAGAACGAAGTGTGCAAAAAAAAAAGTGCAATTAAAAGGACAAAAAAATAGATAAATAAAAAGTCATCCAAAGTTTATATTTTGCACACAAACACTTCTCTTTACATGACAGAAAGAGAAGGAGGAGAGGAGGAGAGGAAGAAGAGAGACAGAGGGAGAGAGAGAGAGAGAGAGAGAGAGAGAGAGGGACATACAGAGAGAGGAGGGGGAGAGAGAAGAAGGAGAGAGAGAGAGAGAGAGAGAATGAAGAGAGAGAGATTGGGAGAGAGGAAGAAGAGAGAGACAGGGACAGAGAGACAGAGAGAGAGGAGGGAGAGAGGGGAAGGAGAGAGAAGAGAGGACAGAGAGAGACAGAAGATGAAGGGAGCGAGAGCAAGGAAGAAGAGAGAGACGGGGACAGAGAGAGAGAGAGAGTAAGGAGAGAGAGAGAGAAGAGAGGGGAAGAGGAGGTAGAGAGAGAAGAGGGAGGGAGAGGGAGGGATTGAGAGAGAGGAAGAAGGGAGAGAGGGACAGAGAAAGAGGATGAAGAGAGAGGAAAGAGAAAGAGAGAAGAGAGGGGGGAGAGAGGGACAGAGGAGATAGAGGGAGAGGAGGGAGAGAGAGGAAGGAGAAAGAGAAGAGTGGAGAGAGAGACAGAAGATGAAGGGAGAGAGAGAGAGGAAGGAGAGACAGAGAGAGAAGAGAGGGGGGAAGGAGGTAGAGAGAGAGAGAGGGGGGAGAGAAGGGAAGGAGAGAGAAGAGTGGACAGAGAGAGACAGAGAAGATGAAGGGAGAGAGAGAGGGGAAGAAGAGAGAGAGAGAGAGGGGTAGGGATTGAGAGTGAGGAAGAAGAGAGAGAGAAGAGAGAAGAGAGAGAGAGAGACAGAGAAGATGAAGGGAGAGAGACAGGAAGGAGAGAGGGACAGGGATGGAGAGAGAGGAGGGAGAGACAGAGAGAAAAGAGGGGAGAGACGGGGGGAGAGGAGGTAGAGAGAGAGAGGGACAGAGAGAGAGAAGAGAGAGAGGAGGGAGAGAGGGGAAGGAGAGAGAAGAGGGGACAGAGAGAGACAGAGAGGATGAAGGGAGAGAGAGAGGAGGGAGAGAGAGGAAGGAGAGAGAAAGAGAGAACAGAGGGGAGAGAGAGAGGGGAAGAGGAGGTAGAGAGAGAGAGAGGAGGGAGGGAGAGAAAGGAAAGAGAGAGAGAGAGAGGGAGGGTTTGAAAGAGAGGAAAAAGGGAGAGAGAGGGACAGAGAGAGAGAGGAGGAGAAAGAGAGTAGAGAGGGGGGAGAGAGAGAGGGAGAGAGGAGGGAGAGAGAGAAGAGGCAGGGAGAGAGAGGAAGGAGAAAGAGAAGAGTGGAGAGAGTGGAGAGAGAGAGACAGAGAAGATGAAGGGAGAGAGAGAGAGGGAGAGAGAGAGAGAGAGAGAGAGGGACAGAGAGAGAGAAGAGAGAGGAGAGAGAGAGAGACAGAGAGAGAGAGAGAGAGAGAGAGAGAGAGAGCAGAGAGAGAGACAGGATGGAGATAGAGAAGAGGAGGAGAGGGAGAGAGGAGGAAAATCATCAAAAGTTCATATTTTGCAGATCTGCCTCTTTTCTTTTCATAACATAAAACACCGTAAGCTGGTAAAGGTGCATTACGGAACTTTCTGGTAGAAGGACTGCTCCGTAAATGGTCCAGGTTCCTTGTGCATGACTTCAGTGACACATAAAACAACAGAGTAAACACACACCTGCTGAGTGTGAGCACAGAGCCTCAACTGTTTATGTCTAATGTTGAGTAATAAACAAGTAATAAACAAGTAATAAACAAGTATTAACATCTCTAAACAGGAGAAAGTTAAGCAGTACAACTTTAAATCCTGTTCATTTGTTGAGATCTTTTTGTTTAAATGCTTTTAAATGATCAAATATACAATGTAGAGCAAATATTTTACCAAATATAATTGACTCTTCCCAGTGATTTTTGTCAGAATATTTGTGTCTTTAACTTTGTTGTTGTACATTTGTTATATTTGTTATTGTATTTAAAACTTGATCGATGATTGAAAAGTTGATCTGCAAAGTTTGGACCAATTACAGTGATAAAGATTCTTGGTTCTTGGTTTAGTCCTGGTTCAGTTCTGTTTTACTATTATTTTAGTTTGGGTTTAGTCCTGGTTCAGTCTTTGTTCAGTCCTGGTTTTGTTTTTGTTCAGTCCTGGTTTAGTCCAGGTTTAGTGCTAGTTTGGTCCTGGTTTCGCTTTGGTTTAGTCCTGGTTCAACTCTGATTTACTCCCTGGTTTAGTTGCTTTAGTCCTGGTTTAGTCTTTTTTAGTCCTGGTTTAGACCTGGTCTAGTCCTGATTTAGTTTGGGTTAAGACTTAGTTTAGTTCAGGTTTAGTGCTAATTTTGTCCTGGTTTACTTATGGTTTAGTCCTGGTTCAGTTCTGATTTAGTTCCTGGTTTAGTTCAAGTTTTGCTTTGGTTTAGATCTGGTTTAGTCTGGATTTAGTCCTGGTCTAGTCCGAGTTTCATCTTGGTTTAGTCCTGGTTTAGTCCAGGTTTAGTGCTAGTTTGGTCCTGGTTTCTTATGGTTTAGTCCTGGTTCAATTCTGATGTAGTCTCAGGCTTAGTTCTAGTTTTGCTTTAGTGTAGTCCTGGTTAAGTTTTTTTAAGTCCTGGTTTAGATTTTGTTTAGACCTGGTTTAGTCCTGATTTAGTTTGGGATTAGCCTTAATTTAGTTCTGGTTTAGTCTGGGTTTAGTGCTAGTTTGGTCCTGGTTTCCTTTTGGTTTAGTCCTGGTTCAGTTCTGATTTAGTCTCCGGTTTAGTTCAAGTTTCGCTTTGGTTTAGTCCTGGTTTAGTTTGGGTTTAGCCTTAATTTTGTCCTGGTTTAGTTCAGGTTTAGTGCTTGTTTTGTCCAGGTTTAATTATAGTACAGTCTATATTGTTTAGTCCTAGTTTAGTCTTGGTTGACTTATGGTTTAGTCCTGGTTCAACTCTGATTTAGTATCTGATTTAGTTCAAGTTTCACTTTGGTTTAAACCTAGTTTAGTCCTAGTTTAGTCATCGTTTAGTCCTGGTTTAGACCTGGTCTAGTCCTGATTTAGACCCGGTTTAGTTTGGGTTAAGACTTAGTTTAGTCCTGGTTTACTTATGGTTTAGTCCTGGTTCAGTTCTGATTTAGTTCCTGGTATAGTTCAAGTTTTGCTTTGGTTTAGACCTGGTTTAGTTCTGGTTTAGTCCTGGTCTAGTACAAGTTTCATCTTTGTTCAGTCCTGGATCAGTCACAGTTGTAATAACTGTTGTACTACAAACTCAGTCATGTTTGTAGTTTTTTGGTATAAACCGGCAGTACATTTGAAGTAGTAGTTGTGGTACTTCCTCGCCGATGGACTGTTGATGGTCAGGTGTCGGACAGCGGCGTTTTAACCCCTTTGAGTCCGGCGCGGTGTGGCTGATTACACCGTGCGGCGCTCTGTAGTTTCCCAGTCTTGAAGTGTGGGTAAGTCAGATGCCCTGCCCGACTTTACGGCTAAATGACAAAGAGCGCGCGGTGATTAGAGGCTGAGGGGAGGCGTGCTGCGGCGCCTAATCACCTGCCCAGAACCTTCTCAAGAGGGGGAGCGAGGACCGGCCGGCGGACACGACCTGCTTTCAAGTGTTTAAGGCCGGCAGGAGTATCGAGAGTCAGATACGGATCGATACCGGAGCTGGGATCGAAACTAGATCAGCATTTGTCGCAGGAATCGAGACAAAAAAAAGTGATGTCATTTGGTTTGGTCGAACTTAAGTTCTGATTAAGACCTGGCTTAGTCCTGGTTTAGTCCTGGTTCAGTCTTATTTAAGTACTCGTTTAGTCCTGATTTAGTCCTGGTTTAGTCCTTGTTTATTCCTAGTTTAGTCCTCGTTTAGTCTTGGTTCAGTCCTGGTGTAATGCCAGTTTAGTCCTAGTTTAGTTCTGGTTTAGACCTGGTTCGGTCCTGGTTTAGTCCTGGTTCAGTCCTGGTTTAGTCCTGGTTTAGTCCTAGTTTAGTCCTGGTTTAGTCCTGGTTTAGACCTGGTTTAGTCCTGGTTTAGTCCTGGTTTAGACCTGGTTTAGTCCTGGTTTAGTCCTGGTTTAGACCTGGTTTAGTCCTGGTTTAGTCTTGGTTTAGTCCTGGTTTAGTCCTAGTTTAGTCCTGGTTTAGTCCTGGTTTAGTCCTAGTTTAGTCCTGGTTTAGTCCTGGTTTAGTCCTGGTTTTAGTTTACCTGGTTTAGTCCTGGTTTAGACCTGGTTTAGTCCTGGTTTAGTCCTAGTTTAGTCCTGGTTTAGTCCTGGTTTAGTCCTGGTTTAGACCTGGTTTAGTCCTGGTTTAGTCCTGTTTAGTCCTGGTTTAGACCTGGTTTAGTCCTGGTTTAGTCCTAGTCCTGGTTTAGTCCTGGTTTAGACCTGGTTTAGTCCTGGTTTAGTCCTAGTTTAGTCCTGGTTTAGTCCTGGTTTAGTCCTGGTTTAGTCCTGGTTTAGACCTGGTTTAGTCCTGGTTTAGTCCTGGTTTAGTCCTGGTTAGTCTCATTGTGGTCAGTAGTTTTACATCATGA